GCAAGGACTCAGGCATTCCGTAAGGGTAGTAGCTGAAGGTTTGAACCTTTCCCTTAGGTCATAGGTCCCACCTACTGTGCATTTGAATAGTAGGTTTCTCTCACCAAAGGGAATTTGGAAATTCTTGGATCAGGCAACATGCAAAAGAGAACAGGCAAAAAGAATTAACAGCAATTGAACAGGGTGTTGTCACATCCTCTTTACCCAATAAAGGATGAGACAAAATCAGAATAAATCCAACCATAATATATTTTGGGTCAGGGACATATGAAGGGAAGTATCAGACCAAAGTGAGAGCCTAGGGGATGAAGGGGTAGAGAAAAATGCATCAGGTTTGAGCTGAACAATCAGAACAGAAAGCAGGTTCAGCAAGGAAGCTATAAAGGACAAAAAGCCAAATCTTGCTTCTCATGCAAAACCCACTATTCAAATGTACAAAGAATGTAACCTACCACTTACCTCTCCATGAAAAGAGGGGCCAAGCAAACTTCAAAACAAAAAGGAACTTTAATTACAACAGAAAGTAGAGAATACTGTCTACAAAGCAGTGGTATGCTGGACACGATAAAGAACTAACATCTGTAGGTGACCTGAGCAATGGTTAGAACAAATGTTCAGAGTAAAGGTACAGAGAAACCAACTCCCCACAATCCTTCTTTCCTTTGAAGAGGAAGGGATGGGAAGAGCGACCTGAGCACCAGACTCCACATCTGAGTTCTTCAAGGTCAGTAATTTGCTCACAGGTAACAGTAAGAAAGATTTTGTTTCATAAATTCTTATTAAAGCAGTAATGCCTCAACAGTCTAATAAAAAGGCATGTAAAAACAGAATAACATTTTCTAGGAGAAAAACATTTTTCTATTATAAAAAAGTAGAAGGATGGAATACAAAATAATTATGACTTAGTAATGTGGAACCCATTTAATCTCAAATGGTGAGGAGAGGTATAATTTTAACAGATGATATTTCTTAAACTCAACTTCACACTTAGCATGCTTTTGGTAATGAGAAAAATGCTGATGTGCCTTTAAATTTAGAATAAAAGTTGACTATAGTCCTAGAGAAGCCAGAAGAGTAAGTAAAGACAAACCATATATTTCCTGTAACCTGAGGATATCCTCTAGAAGGCTAAGCACACTAGAAAAAAAGGTAGAAGAAAGAAAACCTGAAATAAATTACTCTGTAAACCGCCAGCAGAAGTCACAGAGGTTGTAGAAAAGTTTACCTCCACCAAATTCAAAATTTGGTGTAAGTACATTCCAGGACAAGGGTCTGGAGTTTGATGAATAACCATACACCAAATAATTACTAGACTATGAGTCAGACTTCCAGGGTAAGAGGCTGGATCTGTTTCACTTTTCAATATGTGAACATGAGTAAAGCTACAATTTCTCATCTAAAAATGGAGACAATATTACCTACAATCAAAAAGGACTAGGCACTCACCAATCCTGCTCTTATTTCCCAAGCACAAGGAAAAGTATATTTCGCAGCCTGCCATGCACTTTTGGTCTGAACCAGTCACAGGGCTCCAGACTATACAATGTGGGCAGAAATGACATGATCTACTTCTAAGCCTGGCCCTAGAATCTCCTGAAAAGACCACAGCCCATTCTCTCTTGCCAACTGGCACAGTTCAGTTCAGTTCAGTCATTCAGTCGTGTCTGACTCTTTGCAACCCCATGGACTGCAGCACGCCAGGCCTCCCTGTCCATCACCAACTCCCAGAGTTTACTCAAACTCATGTCCATTGAGTCGGTGATGCCACGCAACCATCTCATCCTCTGTCGTCCCCTTCTCCTCTCGCCTTCAATCTTTCCCAGCATCAGGGTCTTTTCAACTGGCACAGCATCTAATAAAAAGGACTCCAAAGTAGCAGAAGGAACAGGGGAGCCACAAGACAGAAGAAACAGCCTAGAATCCCTAAGTAACACTTGAATCATCATTTTGTGAAGGAGCTACACGGAGAGTTGCCCTACCCCTCTCACGTACCCTAATTTGACCTTGATTCCTGTCCTGTCTGTGACTGACAAACTTTTATTAAGTTCAGACACTAAGATTTCAGAGGTCATAAAATACCCCAATACATGTCTTCTTCCAAGTTCTGAGTGTAGAGATGAAAATGGAGTAACAGAAATAAAAATTTTACCAATACAAAGTTTTTTAACATTGTAAAGGTAATATTAATGGAAATAAACCAGGCTAAAGATTATGCACTTTAAAAAAAAAAGCCTAGATATCCACAATATTAATTACAAAATAAAAGTGTTATTTAACCAAGAGCCAGAAAACTAGTCAATTTTTTAATATAAAAAATCAACAGGCTAATATATAAGCAAAAACTGCAAATTTCTTCAAGGTACAGACTTCAGGAAATTAGCAGGCTTACTTGTTAAGTCAACATAATAGAAACAGGTGCCACTTCACACCTTCCATTCTAAAAGAGACAGAAGTTGATGAGAGAGATGGACAGAAACTAATTAACATGCTAAAGAGAAGCCATAACTTTTAAGAAAAACATGAATACTTACAATCTAAATATATGATAAAATATTAAGTCAATAGATACCAAAACTAAAGTTTCTTCTGTCATACTTGTGATTAAACTATCGTGGTATCTATACCATCTATTCACTTAAATCTCTTCACTAGAGCCACTCCCAAACCATCCCCTACACTATTTATAATTTTGAAAGTTCTCTCATAAGCTTCTCCCTTTGAATTTCTTCAAGCACTTTACAATCGACAAAGAATGCCCTCAGATTTTCTCCCCTTTCTCTTCCTTCAACTCAGCAACAACACATGGTTTAAAATGCAAACTGTCATTTCTGATCAATATTTTTACATGAGCAATTTAGAAGAGAATTTAGATTTTCTTAATATTAAAAGTGTCATTTCATGTCACAAAAGGTTTGTTAAAACAGTAATTATTCCAAAATGATAAAATCAATATTCTTATTTAACAGAATTAGGCAACAACAGTCAGAATATAGTTTCATGACAAAATTTCAGATTTAATATTAAAGAAAAATATCAATAGATGATCTTAAGAATAAAGAGCAAAACAAAGAAAGAGGAAATGAAACTATAGCAAAAAAGAATCACTAGAAAATCCTGATTGGTATTCCTTGGAAACTGATTTGGAATTAGAGACAGCATTAATTAACACTAAAAGTTAATCTATTTACAAAAACAAATCAAAATCACAAAATTTATCAACTTCATGTTTATTTTTGAAGGTTGAGCTCCTCTTCAAATTAGCAACATGTATACTTACATGACAGATAAATTGTCAGAAGAGCAGCAATTTTAAATATATTGTTTCAAAATTAACAAAGAGAATCAGTTTTCAATCTCTGGAAGTTTTCGTTTTATAGAAACAAATGGGCTGCAGATTACCTATTAGAAAATAGAAACTGCCTAATGACTAGAAAGGGATAAGACTGCCAAGATCTTTAAAGCCAAAAGGGATAGGAAGGCTCCCTGGAGACTCACTGGAAACAAAACCAGAAATGTGCAATTCTCAATAGAAAATAAGCTACCTTAATATGTATTTTATCTAATTTATTCATTCAGATTCTATTTATTTAGAATTAATAATATTTGCCCAGCAGATATTCACCCTTTCATGATCTACAAAAAAGGGTTTTTGCTAAGCAAAACAAGTAAGCAAGACTACACAGGGCATAAACCTACAGAATTAAAAACTAGTCACTGATGATTTACTTTTTTTACTTATAAATATCTTTGATGAAGTTTTAACTTTACTAAAACTTTCATCATTGTTTACTTTGCTAATAAAAATAGATATTTTTAAACCACTGTTCTCTCACACTTTCCATACACACGCATGTGTGTGCATATCAGTGTTCAAAAAGCCTTTTTGGACAATCTAAATAGTATTTTCCTATATTTAAACACTGATACAGAACAAGCATAAAGCATGAAAGAATATACTTAAAACTTAAAAATAAATTAAGCTTTGTGGATAGAATGGCCTATTATTGGTCTTGCAGTATATGAAATCATTAGGCGGGTAATAGCTGTCCATTGCTTTCTAACTTAAAAGTGAAGGGAAAGTCGCTCAGTCGGGTCCAACTCTTTGCGACCCCATGAACTATACAGTCCGTGGAATTCTCCAGGCCAGAATACTGGAGTGGGTAGCCTTTCCCTTCTCCAGAGTTCTAACTTAAAAGGTCTAAACAATAGAAAACTGATATACCCATCAATAACAGAATCTATTTATTTATTAGAGACAAATAACTAGAGTAAAACTACAGTCATGGTACCAAACCTATAATCTACCTTTCATAATTACCAAGATTGTGGCATGTATTTCTGTGTGCAGAGTTTTACTGCTTCTGCCTCATGATATCTCTATTTAACTGTGTTTAACTTCTGTACTCTTTATTTTATTCTTTAACTTTCAGCAAGGTAACTTAGTCCCTCTCCATGAGGGGACAGTAGTAGTAAGCTTATAGTGCACTAAACAAAATTAAAAGCCTACGAAATAACTTAACTGCTTCTTTGCTAAATTAAAATTTAAAATTATTTATTAACAGTAAAACAAAGAACTCCTAACTCTTATAATACTCTCAACTAAGCCACCAATAATAGGGCAGGTGCTTTGGGTCATTTTTTCCAACAATGGTGAAAATTTAAGCACTTGAATTTACAGTCTCTTCCTCTTGTTGACCAACTTTTTTTTAAAGGTAACTAGAAAAGTCATGTGATAGTTCCAGTGGCCATGTTCAAAAAGCAATCGAGAAGGAAGAGACTAAATTCTTGACAATGATCATCCTATTATCTTTGTACTCAACAGCTAAACTACTACGATCTCAAGTAAGAGTTTAAATAAGGAAGTCGGATTTTTCTTGTAATTTTCCTTTTTCATGTTTTTAGAAAACTGGAATTAGCACTTAACGTCTAGGAGGTTGATCAGGCTGGTAAACTAAGCAGAGAGGAGAGTGCCAGTCAGAATCAGCCTACCCTTGCCTTACCTGCCATTACACAGCAGCCATCGAGCAAGAGAATAGTGAGGCAGAATCTTCTGCATGGCACTGGCCATCACCATGGTAACGACCAGCTGAATACCGATCACACCCTGTGTAAAGAAACAAACAGATGAGTTCAACAATGAATGCATTTAGATTTGAGGAAACCACTGAAAAGCTTTCTATATGTTTTGAAAATTATACTTTATAAGAAAAATGGGTTTACTATCAAAACACCTATTATTCTGCCATACAGGGTCTCACCTCATAATCCTCTACAAGTTATCCAAGGGTCACATACATATTAACCAAAGTTAAATTACAGAGCATACACATTCAAAATCTATTTCCAAGAAATCTTCTCCATTACCTGAGTGTACCAAAATGAAGTGGAAAATAGTGATTTTTTCCCCCATCCTTCTCTAAATTTACTCTATTCAACGCATTTACAACACCAGCCTGGCTACCTCTAAAAGCAGTATGCCTATTTTTTAATTCTAGGGTGGCAGTGAATGACTCAAGAGCATTAACTATACTAAATGTGGATGGCGGAAAGTCACAAGAAAAAAAATTTTACTTCACCCTATCATCACGAACTTTCAATGGATGGGCTTTTAACAAGGTCCCAAAATGCCCAGTTTGTTCTCATCAATTCCTCTCTTGTTCTCTGCAATACCTAATTCAAACCTTCTCCCATCTCCCCACACCTCCAACCTCCCTCAAACTTCTTCCTTCTTTAAAAAAAAAAAATTATTGAAGTATAGTTGATTTACAAACACAGCAAAGTGATTCAGTTTCACACACATACATATACATGTACTTTACACACATATTCTTTCCCATTACAGGTTATTACAAGATATTGAATATAGTTCCCTCTGCTATACCATAGGACCTTGTTTTTAGCTATTTTACATATAGCAATTTGCATCTGCTAATCCCAAACTCCTAATTTATCCACTCCCTCCAAAATTCTCTCAACTCAGTAGAGGACAGCTTCCAGTTCGGAGAATAAAACAATCGCATCACATGAGAACTCTCATTTGACACCAACAAGCTCACAATCACTGGTATCTGCACCTGTCTTCCTCCACACCCTCTAGAAATATAACACAGTACCTTCAGCGTAAAGCAACCTCAGTGCTTCAGAGCCCATCCTCTCACGGATTTTCAGGCCCCTCACCCACTGAGCAGCTTCCCTCCTGGTGCTGCTCAGTTGCTAAGTCGTGTCCAGCTCTTTGCGACCCCACAGACTGCAGCACACAAGGCTCCTCTGTCCTTCACTATCTCCCGGAGCTTGTTCACTCACGTCCACAGAGTCAGGGATGCTATCTAACCATCACATCCTCTGCCCCCCTTCTCCTTTTGTCTTCAATCTTCCCCGGCATCAGGGTCCTTTCCAATGAGGAGGCTCTTCGCATCAGATCTCCTCTACTTAAAACCTTCCTACTAGTATTTTAATACCTTTCACCTTTATAAAAAAAAATAACAATAATTTCCCCTTATTCTTTATTTTCTCTTCTATAAAATGAAGCTAATAATTCAGCTGACCTACTAATCAAGCTGTGGTTAATAACTGTGCCTGTTTCAGAGAACGCAGCCAATACTTTTTATTGTCATAATTATCATTCCTATTAAGGGACAATTTTTTTTTTTTTTTTTAATTTCAGGAAGAGAAGGCTTTTCAAAAAATAACCGTTACTTCTATAAGAAATAAATTTAGAAAACAAAATAAATGGAATCATGCCATAAAAAATAACATCAGTCTCCTAAGTGATAAAAGAACACTAAAAAATTTTTTTGAAAAAATCATATTTCACTGATTTTAACAAACTGTTCAATCAACTGTACATCACTGTAACAAATGTACTATCATGATGTGGGATGCTCAAAGTGTGGGAGGTTGTGCACGTGGCCAGACGGGGGTATCCAACTCTCCACACTCTGATCCATTTTGCTGCAAACCTAAAAGTGCTCTAAAAACATGAGATTTTAAGAAAAATCAAATCAAATTTACTCACAGAGAAAGAGTGTAAGTAATGTCAAAATAATTGGAAAAGACATTTGTAACTCATATCATAAAGGGATAATTTGTTGTTGTTTAGACTCTTTTGCAACTCCCTGGACTGCAGCCCACCAGGCTCCTCTGTCCATGGGATTTCCCAAGCAGGAATATCAGAGCGGGTTGCCATTTCCTCCCCAGGGGATTTCCCTAACCCAGGGTCAAATCCGCGTTTCCTGCACTGGCAGGTGGATTCTTGACCGCTGAGCAACTCGGGAAGCCCAAAGATATTATTTATTTGTTAGGTATTATATGGCATTCTTACAAGTCAATTAGTAAAAAAACAAATGCCTAATTTAAAAAGAACATATATGTACCGAGGTTCTTTAAAAAAGGGAGCAAAATGGCTCTTAAACAGGACTGTTTTAAAATGCCTTTGAAACCTGTCTCAATTCTGGTTTCACTGTGGATATTTTAATGCCTTAAATTCTACCAATTGGGTTAAGTTTCACCACTTTTATATTCTCCTAATGTCAAAAATTTCTGAAGACATTTTTGTCTTTTTTCTTTCACATTTCCTATCACATGCTTTTACTATCTTATTTTCTATATAGTTTGTGATAGAAGTTCTGCAATCTCCATACAGTGAATGCCATTACAAAGAACACTTACAGGCAGAACAAGGCCAAGAAATATATTAGCAAGTATGTCAGAAGGTTAGTCTATTTGAGATTACAGACGTAAAAGCAAAAGATAATTTTTTTAGTCAGGGAATTAGGGAAAGTTTCGTGGACAAAGTGAACATCCATCTAGTCTTCAAAGAAATCTGATAGTATCATGGAATCTTCAAGGTCATCTCACAAACATATATAACAATTTATTAGAGTGTAAGCTCTGTAATAGCAGAAAGTGTATCTTAGTCATATCTAATAAATGTTACAGGTATTAAATGGCATTTCAGAAAGATTGATCTAGAAGATATATGTGTGTGTGTGTGTGTGTGTGTATATATATATATATACACACACGATGGACTGACTCATTGGAAAAGACCCTGATGCTGGGAGGGATTGGGGGCAGGAGAAGGGGACGACAGAGGATGAGATCGCTAGATGGCATCACCGACTTGATGGACATGAATTTGAGTAGACTCCGGGAGGTGGTAATGGACAGGGAGGCCTGGTGTGCTGAGATTCATGGGGTCGCAAAGAGTCGGACACGACTGAGTGACTGAACTGAACTGAACGATGGACTGTGATGAACTGGGGATAAAAGGCATCTTACCAAACTCTCTCCTCTTATTCCAAATCACTAAGCATAATGAGACACTGCTGATAAACGTAGGACTAAAGAATGTAAACCATGTGAAGGCAAAAACAAATAAAAATCAGCAAACCGGATTGACTAGCATAAAAGCAACTAGGCTTTGGCAATGGGAAATGATCCACACCAAAAAAGAAAACGATTTAAATTACAATGGTATCTCTGGTTGTTAAGAAGAAAAATGTATTCTAAAGATATTGTTGAAGAATTCAGAGAATGATAGTATATTGAAGCAAATGAGAAACTAAAGAGATCAACCTCAAAAAACATTCAAAAATGTAACTTCACTCTATTCACTTATCTTACTATGCCATTTCCATATTTTTAAAATAAAGTTGAAAGTACTTTCTCAAAACCTCATCTGTTTACTGTTAAATATATAAGTTGTCTTTCAACTTTCTAACAGAAGTCAATAAACCTTTCCGAGAATGAATCAGCTGTTAGGTAACTAACTGTATTTGTGGACTGAAAGAAAATGTTGTTTTTTCCCCAATAGAAGAATCCACCTAATTTTTTTGAGAAATAGTTTTTAAATTATGTAGAAAATATGTCCCCAAACTTAATCCTTTTCATATTTATTTGGAAAAGAGTCCTTGGAATATATTTTCAAAATGACTACCATTTTACAGAATTATATAATATCAACTTAATATGTTGTTAGTACTAAACTTAGATCTACTTTTGAGACATCACCATACAACTGACAATCACAGTGCACATGCCAGGGATTAACATATTAAGATATATTCAACTCATTAATTAAGAGACACAATTATGTGAAATTTAAAAACAAATTTTGATAATCTGCCTTCACTGACCAACTTAAGTGTCCATGTATATCTAAGTTTGTACAAAACAGAATTTTTGAAATGTTTAGTTTAAAAACCAAATTCCCTGAATATCTTTCATTATTTTTAATTAAAAGCTAATGCTTAAGTAAATTTAATCATAAACAAACATAAACTTCACAGAAAAAAACTATTAAACTGAGTGGATAATGCACCGATACAATAAAGTCCATCATGGCTGAAGTTTCAAGCACACAACCTTATGGGTCATTGGCCAAGTGGCCTTAATGGTTTCATTAGGGCCTCAAAACAATAACTTGACCAAAGAGATGGCTTCTGTCCAGATTGGTTGCCCCTAGGCTCCAATTCTCTTGATAACTGGAACTGGGAAAAGTCATTTATGAAATAGCTCGTAAGCTCCCAAGAAGGGTGAAACATTGGAGCAACTTAGGTTTCAACCTTTCCACATCTATTAACCTGAGGCCATGAAGAGCAAGAAAAAGTTATTTGCCTTTAGTTTATAGAAGAATGATCATTTCAGTTTTTGTTAGTAATCATTTCTGGGTAGGTTAAAAAAATTCTTACCAAGGAAAATTAAGCAATTCTCCAAGAAATAAAATATATCAAATAGCAGTATTTTATCTTGCTTGACAATACTTATAATAAAACTCCCCAAACTTAAAGAAAAACATGTTGTAATTTTAAAATTCAAACTTGGAACAATATTATGTCAACCTCAGTGGAGTTGACATTTTGTTTCATTTCACTAAACTAACTCTCCTGTTGACAGACTGAAAGCAAAGTATACAGTTTACGATCAGAAGGCATATCAGCAACATACTTGAACTCAAACCACCCCAAATGGTTTTAATGATCACTCACCCTCCAGTAAATGAGAAGGGAAAAAAAAAGAAGATATTCAATGACCTTCCCATTTTTAGTTTTTTAACTCTGTACATATTTTAGTAATAGCTAGACATGTTGAGACAGATTTCTT